TTTCTCAATTCCACCATAAGTTTAAACTCTTTAAAAGCCGCTTAATATGAGAAAGTTTGTAGTGCAAGGGGCATTGCCTCTATCCCTGTTTGAATGCGTCATTTTTACACGCTTTTATTTAACTCACTCTGTTGTATCCTCAAATCTTGTAACTCAATTTTTACCCACTTCCCAATGTCGTATCGACTGCAAACTTTGCATACGTATGTCATACTGATGACAATACTATATTCTATCAATCAAAATAAAAAATATATATTTTAAGCAATCTTTTTTATATCTTATTTTTCGGCTTGGGTCTAATTGTCCACGCTCAACTGACGTTGGCTGTAAATCACCACGGTCCCTTACGTTATGGCAAGCCTCGGGGCAACTTCCTGGAGTCGTGGAGTTCTGCCATTACTAGTACGGTTTTTTAAAAAAAGTATTTTTTAATATTACTTATTTAACCGCAGCCTGCCATCTGCGAGTGGAAAAACAAATCGCCAAATACCCGGATACTTCTCGCCCATTGGGTTGCCTTCCCCATTTGTGTATTGGAGCAAGTTTACCTGCTTATTTGTTCATAAAATGTGACGTGGTCATTTGGATCCTAATTTCTCCGCCTCTGTATTTCAGTTAACCGGAGTATTAATTGCCTCTTCAATCCTCTGTATGTTGCTATATTAAAAGCAAGCCTCATGTGCTTGGTTAATCACAGTGGCTGGTACATTTTGGTGAGTAACCATAATTGTGATGAGCATTGTTATTTGATTTCACATTACTGCGACGTAATAGGCGATATATAATTAGCAATTTAATTCGAATTTGGCACTGTGTGCAGACGATTATGAAGACATATAAATTGATCATTGTTACAGCATTGTCTTAATTTGGCCTCGTGTGAAAGTGCACCAGCGCAATCGTTCTGGATAGGTGCGTGCAATGCAAGCTGCATGTAACGTTTGTACGAAATAGACATCGATTAATTCACTACAATTCATTATGATCCTCCCAAGGGGCCGTCCATAAATGACGTCACGCGATTTTGGACGATTTTTGACCCCCCCCTCCCATCGTTACACGCAGGGGCGGAGCCAGGGGGGGGGGGTGACATTCTGCGTATAAGTGTACGACACTCGGTCTGGCGGACTCCGTGCAACTGCATTGTCAGAGTGTGTCGCCAACCGATGGCGTTTAGTTCAACAGCCTGACTCTCTAATCATTCTTGAAATTAACATTTGTTGAATGTCACCCCGGCCTGAAATCCTGGCTCCGCCCCTCGTCACACGGCGTCACAAAAATTCAGACCCCCCCCTCAAATATGACGTCACAAAGCTCTGCCCCACCCCCCTCCCCCCCCAAAAAACACATGCTTCAAGTCGCTTTAAACTATTGTCATTGTAGTGCGTATTTAATGTGGCGCTGCACTCTGATGTTGTAGGAGAAAACATTTATTAAAAAGTATAATTAAATAGAACGTATTCTTGGTTCTTTCGGTAAAGTCACGTAGAAAGGAAACAAAATAATAAAAATATAAAACAAAATTCTCACGTTTCGACTGCAACACAAGCAATCATCATCAGTGTGAAAACCACAGCAAGAAATTTTTGAAAAAGTAGCGTTTTTTTTAACGTTAGCACCACGGAGAGCGATTTGGCAGTTATTCAGATGGACGAGTCCATCTATGTTCGTAAAAGAGGAGGGGGGAGGCGAAAATAATGGATGCGGTCTGAAAGCCACTGTAAGGGTGAACAATCAATTAAGACCCGAAATGGTTTATCAAATCCTTCCAATGATTGCTAAGCCAGAATCCATCTCTCGGTTGAAATTATCTCTGTGTTTGTATTAGTGGATAGCCTCATGGTAGCTAGATGGCTTGCAGAGAACCTCTGTCTTGGAGAAGTCAATGTCATGTGAGCCTACTGAACTATGACAGTGATCTGCCACGGCCGAGGTGTTGGAAGAAGAATTCCCTCATCAAGACTCTGCACCATAGAGCCCAATGCATATCCGACCAGGAACACATAGCCAGTGAACTCAAGCACGTACACCAAGCTCTTAAGGTTAATGGTTACTCCGACTACACAATCCGCAAAGCTATCACTCCAACCATGAAGAAGGACCCTATTGAGCCATTCAAAACCATCACTTTACCCTACATTGCGGGGATCACAAAAAAGATCTCCAAAATCCAGGTCCGTTTCAACACATTACATAAAATCCGTGATCTGGTTCCGTCTGTAAAAGATGTGATTCCGGACATACAGTACCCTGGTGTCTACAAACTAAGTTGCCTCTGTGGTAGTAGTTACATTGGAGAAACCAAACGCCACGTCTCGGACCGCATTCGTGAACACAAAGCAGACCTTAAACACGGTAGGACCAACCCCTCGGCCGTGGCAGATCACTGTTATAATTCAATACGCTCACATGACATTGACTTCTCCAAGACAGAGGTTCTTTGCAAGCCATCTGGCTACTATGAGAGATTCGTTCATGAGACTATCCACATATACAAACACAGAGACAATTTCAACTGAGAAGATGGATTCTGGCTTAGCAATCATTGGAAGGATTTGATAAACCATTTCGGGTCTTAATTGATTGTTCACGCTTACGGTGGCTTTCAGACAGCATTCATTAATTTTTCGTCTCCCCCCTCTTCTTTTCCGAACATAGATGGACTCGTCCATCTAAACAAACTGTCAAATCGCTATCCGTGGTGCTAACGTTTATAAATAAATACACAAATACAAACCGCCACTTCTTTCAAATGTTCTTGCCGTTGGTTTTCACACCTGATGATGACTGCTTGTGTTGCAGTCGAAACTTCGTGAGAATTGTATTGTTTTATATATATTTAATTATTTTAATGTTTCCTTCAACGTGACTTTACCGAAAGAACCAAGAATATAATACAGAATTTATTCTATAATCACAACTCCTGAAACGACCCACGCTAGGGGATTCATTTCATGCCTAGTGATGAACACAATTACACTCCATTGGTTTTATAAGAGTCGAGTTGCACATTATTAATTTTACGAACATGATTAGGAGTGAAATAAGTACCTCTGCCATGGTTTAATTTACAAAAACATTCCCCCAAGTTACAAAGAGACTTTGCATCACTCCTGTGAAATCAGTGGCACGCACAGGTGTGAAAAACAATGTGACATCGGTGTACATGAGCCTCGCCGATGGCGTCAATGAATCCAGTGAAGTGCATCCAAGGGCTGCCTTTGCACAGCCGTCACACAAACACACACGTGCCACGTGCAATCACGGGCCCCGGCACACGACTGGGACCACGTGTCTCCCGGAGGAAGGGCGGAACACATTGAAACATTACTCAAATTCACTGTTGCAAATGGCACAAGGCCTCGCTGGGCAAGACTTTCAATGGTGCACGGTGTTTTCTTGGAAATCTCATACGATTACAAACGCAATTTAACACCTCACAATTTGATTTGGTGTGGAAGCATTTCAAATACAAGCATGAATTGGCACAGGCCTTCACAAGACACTGTTCAAGAGTCAGTCTTACACTCCAAATATAAATTAATTGTAGTTTTTTGTGTGTGCAGGTTTCCATAAATAATGCAATTTGTGGATTATCAGATGGTCCCCCACATTAATTTGCTGGTACTGTGTATTGCTTTACGTGACCGGGCCTTTAGAGCAGGCTGCAATGCATGATTTGCGATGCATACCTTTATTCATAACTGACCCACTCCTGTTTCATCAAAAGTCTTGTGATGTGCAATCACAGAGATGCGTTCAATCCAGGTGAATGCATAAAACCCAAACGTATTGTATCAATAATTGCTCAAACATATTAACGCCAACATAGGTCGCAGACGTTTAAAATCTCTGCAATAAAGGGCATACAAGAATAAGGCAAAGTATACATGCGCTATGAACCCGGTGACCTGAGTTTTTGATTTCTGGCCATGGCTAACAGCAGTGGTGAATGCCATCTGAACCAATCCTGGGTCTCTCCCCTTCACTAACCATCACCAACCACGTGGTGAAGCATATTCAAAACTCTTTCCCAAGAATTGTAGATGACACGTTAAAGAAATAGGACATTGGTTGTCATCAACAAATGTAACATAGTTTCATGGGACAATGAATATACTATTTTACGTGAAAGATACAAAACAACTCTGGGTATTTTTAGTTGATCCATCTTAATTCATCCCCGTCCTCCCCATGTCCACGGCGAGTGAAAGCAACACATGCTACATTACTAAATAACTTTTCTACGTCCCAAAGCACGGACCATACTTTACCGCATCGTGCTAACGTCAAGTAACCATTTCATATTTACAAACAACTCGATTAACAGACACGTTGGCAATTCAAGATAATTGCTGAGACATTTTCTGCAGTTGAACCAAGTTGCTTTTTGCTGTTTTGACCGTTTCCTGCTTCCTCTGAAAACGACAGCCTCTGTGATGAACGTCACTAACCTCTGCTATTTAAATAGAAAGTAAAGTCAAAGAAGCTCCCAGCTCTCGGTTCTGCTAGTGACCCAGGGCCACTGGTCTAAACTCCGCATTCTCACGGCAGGGGGTCACTATATTCATAGGATGTCCACTGTTGACTCTCCACAAAGTAGTACTCACTATGCTGCAGCACATGCACTAGCTGCTGTGCCCTCCCATCGTCGTACAGGTTTTACAGCGTTGTCGTTCGGCGTGATGTCCGACATCCGCTTCACGTGCTGAGAGCTTCCGCAGTAGCTGAAGGAACTGAAGAGGAAGCTTCCAGCACGTGTGCAGCACAACAGAAAACACCACGCAGTTCGACCCGAAAAATGACACATCGAAGGGCCAGTGATGGATTACGTCAAGTTTGGAGAGACACCATCAGCTAAGTCAAAGCCCTCGTGAGAATTTGAACTTTGCAACCTTCCAAGTGAGGTTAAGCACCATCACCACGGCGGGACTCGGCGTGTAAACAACAACAACAGCAGCAGCAGCACGTTGGGACGAGCTCGCGTGAGCACTCACCTGGGCAGCGGTACAGCTTTCTGGCTTGGGCGATGTCCCCCTGGCTCAGACGTGTCCTCTGGCCGATCGCCGGCCTCACTCCGCTGTCGTCCGGCCGGGGAAGAATGGTGTCCAGGAATATTCCTCTGTGGAGACGGCACCGTGAGATGAGGATGCATAGCAAACAAAGACAAAGATCCCCCGTATAGCCTTAACAGGCTGTAGGGGCAAGTGCTGTTAGCGAGCACCTATGGAGGCCGGCACGGCACACGAGGTGGTGGGTGTCCAGCAACCACGCCCGACCGTCTTCGTCTCCCCAGTGGCGATGTTTACTACACAACGCACCAGGTACTCATTTCAGGCTGAGTCAACCTAGAGGATGTCCAGGACCGGTTTAGATAATCGTCACTGGGTGTTGGCCGTGAGCGGGAATCGAACCCGGGTCGCCAGGTTCATAGCGCAGCGTAGCGCTAACCGCTAAACTACCGCTCCCCACACACTCACACACACAGACACACACACAGACACACTCACGTACACACAGACACACACACAGACACACTCACGTACACACAGACACACACACAAGGAGCACAGTCGCCCAGACCAACAGTTTCGCCTCATCCACACAGTGTAACCACGCCACCGCAGGTCCAAACACCTTTTACTCTCTCTGCTTCTTTGCCCGACTTTGAAAATCTCTCCAAATAATCTTTTCCCAAGTTCTAATCATCTTGCTCACTTCTAGTAAACGAACACCTTCAATCGTGCTGACCCCTTGGCGTTTCGGGCCTGTGCTCGGTAACCGTGATTTCAAACAAAAAAAAACCACGCGTCCTCCTGATGGCTGGAGAACAAAGCTCCCTGGGCACATCCACCGCACGCGACAGCCACAAATAGGAGCGATCTGCACAAATGTGAGGCACGGAGTGAAGCACCGACTCACTGACTAACCGTGCGTTATTGCTGCGGGGAGATAGCGAAACTGACAAACTTGGACATGGTGTTTGTGTTATTTATTGTGGGTTCTGTTTGGTGACAATATCTCCCCCCCCCCCCCCCTTTGCTCCCCATTTTCCTCCCTCCCCCCGAAACGCGGTCCCCCATCGTTCCCCCCTACCGCGGTAGAGCGGCGAGCCCAGGTGCCCTTGTTCGTCCCCTAATTTTGAGGGTGCATTCACGCCTGCCCCGTTATACATCACGTGTTGCTCCGCCCTCTTTTTGATGTTCCCGCCGTATTCTGGATTCTTGAAAGACGACAACAAAATGTTTACATTTTAAAAAAAAACTGTCCGCATTATTACGCCCATGACATACGCATGGAACGAATTGTCACTTGTGATTCACTTGTGATTCACTTGAAATGCCCAAACAAGGCTGTGCTGCGACGTGGCCAGGAGATGGCAGTACAGCAAGTGGGTTCTTGGGATTATCTATGTGGACTGCTCTCCTCCCTGCGTTTGGATTCTCTCTCGGTCTCCTCCAGTTTCCTCCCGCGTGCAAGACGCCCGTTTTTGTGGAATAGGATCGAGGGTCCCACGACGGCACCCTCCTGACAAAGTATAATCCTCAGTGAGGCCTTCCTGGACAAAGGGCATTGTTGTCGTGTAAATAAAACCAGTAACGCCTGAGGGAAATGTCATAATTGTTTCACAAAATGTAATTGTGCAAAGTGTGAACAAAGCGCGCTACAGCACGGGCAATTGTATACGTCTGCACTTTCGCTTGCTTTTAAAGTTTTAAATTGAACAATACAATTAACAGAATTTCCACCTTGTCGCATTGATTGATTTCAAACTGTTATTGCAGATTACCGGGATAAACTCTGCACGCTGCACTTTGCACGTCACGTAAACTGTGTAGCGTTTCGGTTATAACAAAGCTATCTGTACGCCGTTTCTGTGATGAGTTTTGTTCAAGTAAGAATGATCACGTTTTCGCTTCTCGCGAAAACATGTTATTTTACTCGACGATACATAGAAGTAGAAGAAGAAGAAAAAACCCAAGAAGCGAATTGTCTTTTATTGCACGGCAATTACATGGCAGGGGGTTTGGTTTTCACACCGCTTGGAAACGATGCCTGCTGGCTGCATTACAATACAGCTCATTTATAACCGCTGTGAGTGATGGGGAGGATATGTAACCATCAGGGATGTGATGCTCCTCTAAGGGCTATCACTGCATTTACAAGGTTTTCTCAGGAGCATCAGAGCTGTTTAAATAACATCCTCCAAAGATTCCATTGCAGATTAAGCCTTTTGTCGCGTTGTCCAATAGCTGTCATTTTCCATTCTGCCCAGTGAGAGCTAAACACCAGGCTTCCTCGACCTTTTAAACAGGCAGCACAATTGGATCTATTGACAATGCACACTATGGGGTCCACATGGACACACACGCGCACACACGCATCCGGGCACACGCTCACGCAAGCAACGCTGGTGGATTTTCAATCCCATTTTTTTGGCTGCTCGACATCTACGTGGCAAAAGATGCATTTGTTTTCATCATTCATCATTTTGATTTTACGAATTGTCTTCAATCATATTTTATCCACTTTATAAATACTTGCAGAGATGAAGAAACTCGGAGGTTTTGGCAACTGACATACGTTCGTGTAAGTTGCATTTAAAGATATTGATTGTCAATAAAATTACTTTTAAAAAAACACGAAAAAAAAGCACGCGACGGTTATTTTCAGGATGGATCCGAGTCCTAAAACACATTCAACTAACTTTCTCATTCTTTCTGTTTTCATGAAGGACGAAAACAAATATAGTACTTTAATTCAAGTGACATGTGTGTACCTGTTAATGCAGCAGTAATGGAATGCTATAAATACCAAATTGCTAATAAATATACAGTCGTATAATAATAACAACTGAAGAAGTGATTAGAATCATCTTACATAACTGAAATGAGTTTAGCAATTTCCCAGGGGATTAACACAGTAACACAAATTGGGGCATTTGTAAATTGATTTAACTGGCTTCAGAGCTGAAACCATTGATGTTTTTAGCCATAGAGACAGATAACTGCTGCTCATTTTCAGGGCATTTCCATATTGTGTGCCACGGAAACGTGACTGCGTCATGGCATACAAGTGAGAAAGGTGAAATGTTACTTTATTTCCATTTATTTTCTGACATTTCACGGAACCTTTTGATTCCTGCCCCTTGACCGAGCAAGCGAGCGAGGGGGGTTGTGGGTGGCATGTTTTCTGCATGATCCTCCTCAACACGGATTGAGTGCAATTGTGAGGTCGAGCGTGAATGTGAGTGGGAAGGTGAATGGGATGGTGAGTTGGAGGGTGAGTGGGAGTGTGAGTGGGAGCGTGAATGTGAGGACGAGCATGAGGATGAGCATGAGTTGGGAGGGTGAATGCGAGTTGGGAGGACGAGTGTGAGTAGGAGAGTGAGTGGGAGTGTGAGCGTGAGTGTGAGGGCAATTAGGAGGGTGAGCATGAATGGAAGGGTGATCGTGAGTGGGAGGGCGAGTGGGAGGGTGAGTGGGAGGAGGGCGATCGTGAGTCAGAAGTCGAGTGGGAGGGTGCGTGTGAGTGGGATAGGGAGTGGGAGTATGAGTGGGAGAGTGAGTGGGAGGGTGCGTGTGAGTGGGAGAGTGAGTGGGAGGGTGCGTGTGAGTGGGAGAGTGAGTGGGAGGGTGCGCGTGAGTGGGAGGGTGCGTGTGAGTGGGAGGGTGCGTGTGAGTGGGAGAGTGAGTGGGAGGGTGCGTGTGAGTGGGAGAGTGAGTGGGAGGGTGCGTGTGAGTGGGAGAGTGAGTGGGAGAGTGAGTGGGAGGGTGCGTGTGAGTGGGAGAGTGAGTGGGAGGGTGCGTGTGAGTGGGAGAGTGAGTGGGAGGGTGCGCATGAGTGGGAGGGTGCGTGTGAGTGGGAGAGTGAGTGGGAGGGTGCGTGTGAATGGGAGAGTGAGTGAGAGGGTGCGTGTGAGTGGAAGAGTGAGTGAGAGGGTGCGTGTGAGTGGGAGAGTGAGTGAGAGGGTGCGTGTGAGTGGGATAGTGAGTGAGAGGGTGCGTGTGAGTGGGAGAGTGAGTGGGAGGGTGCGTATGAGTGGGAGAGTGAGTGGGAGAGTGCGCGTGAGTGGGAGAGTGAGTGGGAGAGTGCGCGTGAGTGGGAGAGTGAGTGGGAGGGTGAGTGGGAGAGTGAGTGGGAGGGTGAGTGGGAGAGTGAGTGGGAGGGTGAGTGGGAGAGTGAGTGGGAGGGTGAGTGTGTCAGCACTCACCGTGAGAAGGTGTTGCGTGCGTAGTGCATGATGCTGTCAAAGTCGTACGACTCCCCCAAAGAGTCAACCTCCCCTGGCTCCATCTTCAGAAAGTTATACTCCTGCCCTGTGTGGACCAGCAAGCAATGAGTTCCAATATTCACAAGCCCCCAGTTAACTTTTCAATTCAATGTCCATCGCTATGTCGTCAATTGATTACCTCATTTACATGGGATGCCTAGTGATATCGCTGTAGATACGTTGTCATAATATTACACATACCAGTTTTAAAACGTACGTTCTTTAGATATCGGAGTATGAACTGAAATGAGTAAACAGGCAGGCAGGAAATTAGACGGGTAGAATAATAAGGTATGTCAAACCCGACAACAGCTCAATGAGATATTGCATCTTTGGAAAGGGAGAAAATATGTTTAGATAAAACATGACCCTTGGGTTTTAAGATAAGACAGCATCTTGTTTAAATATTCTCACAAAGTACAAACTGTTTTGCACATTAAGTGGCCATGCCGAGGTTATAAACCTCACTGAACCTGCGCACCGGAATTGAACCTGGATGGTTGCCCACATCTGTAAACAAGATCCCAGCAACGTTGACTCCGTGCCTTACACACATAGCCATTACCGAGGAGCCTGAGTCACAGCGAACTCATTTTGTTAACGCGTACGCCCCCACACCATGCAAAGCATGCCCATGGCTCTGGGTGGATGGTGAATTCTAATCGTTTACTCCAATACAAGTATCTTGTGACACAAGGCCAAATTGTGCATTATAATCCATGTTTAATTATAACAAAACCTATTTGTTATTAAACATCACCTGCTCACACATTCCTGTAATCAGTTTTCAACTTGCCCATTCACATTGAGCCGCGTGGCTCATTAAATGAAAAATGTTTAGTCCTTATTAAGATTAATTTTTACGTGATTGATTTTTTTGTTACAGCTCATATATTCAAGCATAAATTATGGACCTATTTGCATTACAAACAATATTTAGAAATCAAACAGACAAAACATATGCAAGCAATTTTACTCCACTGCTTCAGATCCTGAAACTGGCCGGATTCTCCAGTTGAGTAGTAGATGCCAGCAGATAGATAATGAGCCCACAGGACACGCGACTCCAGATGCACGGTCCTTCCCACCAGTGTTACAGGCTCGTTAACAAACCCGCCGAACGGTGACAATTCCACTGCCTTGAAAATGCCCCACGTCTTAGAAGTCACTTTATTTTACTGGCCACATGTCTCAGTCTTGCCTTTGGCACGACACTCAAAGCTGCCTTTATGGACCAGCAGTGGATTTTACAGGACAGTGCTAAACATTTGGACCCCCATTTACATTACACATTGCATAAACTCAACACATGCCGATAAAACTCCTTCTTCAGGTCAGTGTTGTTGACATGTATAGAGTTTTTGTTATAGTGCTCATCTACCACGGCCAACGCCGTATCACAGTTTTATTCACGTTACACATTTCCGGCATTTGAATTTAACATCGAGTAGCTCATTTCCTCTGTTTAGCCACTCAGCATTAAGATCCCATATTATCTTACGTAACGTAACATATACTTTTTGATTTAAAGCTTTCGTGACTGCAGTGATTCATATTCTTGGTTCTTTCGGTAAAGTCACGTTGAAGGGAAACAATAAAATAATAAAATATATAAAACAATAAAATTCTCACGACGTTTCGACTGCAGCACAAACAGTCATCATCACCTGACGTTGGTCACCTGATGATGACTGTGTTGCAGTCGAAACGTCGTGAGAATTTTATCGTTTTATATATTTTATTATTGTATTGTTTCCCTTCAACGTGACTTTACCGAAAGAACCAAGAATATGTAACATATACTCTTTGGGTCTTTCGGTATATATATGAATTCCTGCAGTCACGAAAGCTTTAAGTCAAGATTTAACGTTACATAGTAATGCAAAACTAAGCGTCCATTTGTAGTTTCCCCCTGCAGTCACAGGTGATAGGGCTGGTGGCCTCCGCGCGCTCACGTGAGAGGGTGATTGTTAGGCCTTCGCCGCACAGGCGTGGCACATGTGTGGCACAAGCGCCGCACTCTGTGTGCTGCCAGGCCACTGCCCTGCAAACGGCTTCAAAAACATGAGCAGCCCAGCCTCATCCCAAACCTCAACTCGTCTTTACATTGCTATTTGGAATTTAGGCTGCGACTCAAAACAAACAGTTACAAGTACTTGCAAACCATATCACAGAGACGCTGGTGTTAATTTTACGGCACGGAATTCCTTGTCAAACTTATTGTGCAGCACTGGGAATCAAACCATCACTCCCCGCGATGTTAGCCCCCCAACCGGCAGGCTTCCCTAGCCGAGCTGCTTTGGAGGTTCATCTTGACCAGTGATCATTTTGTTAATGAAATTGGTGGCGAAAAAATTAATGAAGAGTAATTTTTACTCATTTTATTTTAGTCAGTGATGACTATGAGTGGATAAAAAATAAGGCAGCGTGCCGATGACTACGGCGGCCCACCAAGACCAACGTTGGACTCAAACGAAATGAAAGTAACTACGGTCCCGTACTGTTGTCTGAATGAAGATGCACACCGAGGTCATTCAGGACCGTGAATAGGGACTGCAGTGCATTGAGGAAGGCCACAACTGGCTGATTGTGGATGACCTGATCATATTTAAAAGGAGGGCAGGAATAGCTCAACCCCCTTCATGGGCACATTTAAGAGAACGACTCCATGAAATCCACGGGCTAGGACTTGATGAATGCTGCACAGGTCGACGTCGACTCGACTAAGACCATGTCGAAACAAACACACAATCGTGGAGTTGGCGAAACATCCAGAATATAGGACCACGGAGCTTGGTTGGACAATTGTTGGGACCGGTTGTGGCTGAACTCCCCTCCTTGGCTGTGGTTTTCCCTTGCCTCCGTGCAAAAAAAGCCGTTCCAACATAATCGCACAGCGTTTCGAGATGCATTTGTGCATGAATGTCGCCATATACAAATAAAAACACCTAATAATATAAATATTTTTTTGACACGACCACCGCGCGGGCTCGGCGGCGCCCACCTGGCTGAATGTTCGCCTTGATGATGGTCACGTGGTCGTCCCGGTCGGGCCGCGTGTGCTCGTGCCAGAACCCGATCACGTGGCCCAGCTCGTGCACCACGATGCCGAACTTGTCGCAGTTCTTGCCGATGGAGATGGCCTGGGGACCGCCGCCTCGTCTCCCCACGTACGAGCAGCAGCTGCAGTCAGGAAAAGGCCGTGAAGCAGCAGCACATCGCCAGTTGCATGCTCCTGCGTGAGTCTATGACACTGCTCTATCAGGCTTTTTTTTTATAAACTTTCAAGTTGCTTCCTCATGTCCTGCTGTGAGGTCCATAGCGTCCTCGACATGCACCGATACTCAAAGCCCCCCAAACAGTTGATTTGCTGGTTTCTTTGGCAAGATCATTTTAAAACGCGCGCACACTGGCAACGCATTGTTGTATGAAAGCAGGCAATCATGCGAGCGTGCTTAAAACATTACCCGTAACAGCCAGTGGACCGGGCACTTTTCAAAATCGACATCAGCTGACTTGGCAACGAGAGGGGGGAGATTACCGCAATTAGGGGTGCAGCGCGCACGACACGCTGCACGGGGTCAACCGGACCGCGGAGGGCTCGGAGGCGCTGCAGAGACTTTGGCGCGTTTGGCAAACTGACCGTGGAGGGTGCACTGTTAGCCAGGTGCTCCAGCGGGGTTTACTGCTCCAGGACCAGGACATTTAACATGGATGGAGACAAAGTAGTGTGGCGCCACGGGGCCTCGTGTTACGTGACACGGCCGTGTGGTTTGACCGATGTTTTTTTTATTTGCCTGTACAGTCTGTTCCACTATAACGCGGTAGTTTCATTACTGAAGAACACCGCTTTATGGCGAATTACTCAAAAGTCGAGATATTGCAATTCAAAATTAGGGTCAAAGGACTCAAATAATCTCATACAATATCTGTGGAGTATTATTCTGCTGGGACAGTGGTCATTAAATGGAGAGACTAGCATATACTTTATTCGCACTAAATCTCGGTATGCTGTCCTGTTGTAAATGGTCAGCACACTGAGACTTGCAATCCAGAAGTCATCTGCTCGATTTTACCTCCCGGTGCAATATTTTAAATAATGGGCACATTTATTCATTGCCCCGCCTGTGCCCACTGCAGCACAGTTGGGTTCACCGCAGCTCGCTCGTGATGGGGTAAAAAGTGTGGGTACTTCTCCCACGATATCCGGCAAAGAGGAGACCAACCAAGCTCTAGCACCACTCCATATAATGCAGGGCTGCACCCTTACCCTTTATTACTATGCCCCTGCCATGGAAATGTGTAATTTCCAAGACTGATTGAACTCAGCCAATGTATAATCAGAATCTGAATATTTATTTATCCTGAAGGAATCCGATGAGCCATAAAGCTCCGTTTCACAGATGTCCAACATTGGCAACCAAAGACATGGAGGTTACCTGAGAGAGTACGTCCACCGAGGAGATGGGGCAATTAATCAACCCGTGTGCAGGTGCCGGGTGGATTGTCACATCGCAAGATCATGAGATACGGGGGGGTGGGGTGGGGGGTGACTTGGAGAAGCCTTTATCCATTCGTGGATTAGATGTGGCTGATGATGATGACAGAAGTGGTTTTCAGTATCGATGTTTCTACAAACCTGTCTATAATCTATGCTAGATGCTCCACAGAGTTGTGTTCAATTAAGAGAATGACAATGGCCAAGGCTGGTTATCAGACATGGCCATTCGCTCGGTACATAGAGAAATGGGAAAACTAACGCAACAGGCCATTGTTAATGCATTATCCTATCCTGGACGATGACGAGGCCTCGGCTCGGCTGACATACTGGAACGAGACTATTATGTAACTGTTGGCTCGGAGGCCTGCCTGCTTCCGGTTGTATATCAAAGATAAACTATGAGCTGAGGTGGCCATGAATGTGAGCAAAATGTTGGTTTTTTTGTTATCTGTGCATTTCTTTTGCGCTGCGCCCCACAACGGGAGAATTCCCGCTGACATGCTTCTTGTAACGGCTCGTAACTTTGAGGGAAAGGCAGGCCGAGCGTCAGATGCCAGGCTTGGCAACGATACACAGAGGCAACCCTGAGAGGCTGCCAAGAATGTTAATGGGACCGAGCAACTTCCTAGTGCCAGCCAACGCATGCCCCCCCCCCCCTTCTTTGATCGCACTTCAAGGCAGAAACTTCACATGTAACTTTGATGCCCTCTCATTTACCCTGTTTCTGAACGGTCACAGATAAGAACATCCATGACGCGCGCTGAAAAATGGAAATATCAAGACACAATTCCGCCGTGAATGAGTGACGTGCCGCGAGTCGTTTATTTGACAAACACGTGTCTGAGAGTGTACACTCCCCGCGTGTTCTGCATTCCTTGTCCCGGAATAGATGTTTAAGCTTGAAATAAACTAAATTTAACTCCGTCTCCCACGTAATATGGAATAAGCGAGAACCTACTGCGTTGTGAAATCTTACGAGTGGGAAATGCGTTCCAGATGATGTAGATGTGCTTCACTTGCCACGTTGGCATTCAGTCGTACCAGGGCACTCATCACACTTTATCACAATAAATGTCGCGTGAAATAATATTAAGTTTTCAAGTTGTTTATGCGGCGCTGTACTTTTGGCATGGCCACATAAATCAGCAATGACTTCAAACGGAAACGCACGTCTCCCTAAAAACAAAACAACGTCCCCCAGCACCAGCGAGAGGGCAATGGCAGTGTTCATATCTGGTGTTGGTTGTTTTTTAACATTAAGGCTTCCATTCCGCCCATCGCAATGGTAGTGAGCGACCTTTAATAGCCGACAGTTTATCTGCCACGCGCAGTTAACATTCATCACACTGCGTGCGGAAGGGGGGGGGGGGGGCGGGGGATCAGAGGCAATGCGAATACTCTGGTGTAAAATTGCATTTAATTATCATCTGTGGGCTACAGCAGGCATGAGAATATTAAAAAAGCGGCAGCAGAATGCTGCGCTAATCACCGTGGCACTATTCTGCATGTGGTTCTGTACCTGTCTCAGCATCTGTGCGGCGTGGGACAAAAATTCCTGAAAACCCCCCCATCGCCCTGGTGTTCGTGCACTCAGCGGCTACCCCCGGCCCTGCTTGTATTCTTTATTTGGCTCCAACAGCTGTTTTTTAGTTCCAGCGGTCCAAAACAGACCTCATCCTATGTAAAAGGTTCGTAAATTTTGTTCCCCCCTTCTCCGTGATCACGGCGTCACACCTGGTTCTCTGAGGCGGGGGGCAGAATACAATAAATGTTTGGAGAAAACCTGACACCTATTCCAAAAAACATGTGCTTCGTAAACCTGCTGTACAGCTATTAGTACAGCAAGTGTATTGCCGACCTATCTGAATACATTGTGAGTGCGTTCCCCTTGTGAATGTGGATTTTTCCCTGAGTTTCCAAGGACACAGAGTTTCCAAGGAAACTCTGTTTCCTGCTACAAACACAAAATAAAATCGGACATCAAAGTGGCTAAACATCTCAAGCAGGACCCTCTGGGAAAAAAACGAAATATTCAGAATGCGTAGATTTTTTTTTCCTTGGGTAAATAAACGACTACGTTCCCCAGCATGACACAGGACTGATATATTTTGAGATCGTGCCTGCACGGAGCTGCCCGGGCATATCAGGAGGTCACAGCACTGAGCCGGCACCACTGAGAGATCCTGAGTTCGAATCCAGGCAGCCGCTTGTGATTAAACTGGGTTCGCAAGGCTAGCGCGTTGACTGTCTCTCATCTGGCCACCAGCTGCACAAAAAAAGCCATCGCATAAAAAAAATGATTCTGCACCAATATTTGGCTAAATTCCAGCTGTGAGAACTAAAATATCCATTTGACTGTCATGTGATGAACATTACTCTCATATGCGGAACAGGTGGGAAATGTTTTCCAAATTCTGTCTGAACTAGAGGTCACTGGAGAGGATCTCAGACGTAACAATGATGGTGCACACCTGTCATCCGGCACTTGTAGAGGGCAAGGTTTGAGGGCATCACGCAAATGTTGAGAAATCTCCTTACCCGTGTGCGTTTGAGGCGCCATACCTTTTCTCGCCAGGAGAAAGCAGGACGCCTAAGTGTGGTTAATTTCCATCAACTCCCTTCCCTATGCTTCTCCCTCACATGCGTAGGTTTTCTCCGGGTGGTCCCTTTTCCTCTCACATGTATGGACACACCTCCCTAATTTTTTTTTTTTAAAACATCTGAATATATAGAGAACCGCGGAGCGATTGTGAGATGCGATTTGCGTTCACGACGCTACGTAAAACTAAACATGATTATATTGTCTCTATAACACCTTCTTCTGCGTGCCATTATGTAACATGAAGAGTTGCACTGCACTGCTCGAGATCGAAATATCGAACATATTGGGTAACACTTTGCGGATTGCACAATTGGAATACAACATGATGGGGGGGGTCAGGGGTGGTGGAAGACAAAAATAAAAAAGATTACCGCTTCACTGCATCACTTAATGCTGGCTGACAACATTAACACGATTGGCTACGTATGGTGCAAAAGTTGTTCAACATACAACAACAACAACTGCCGTTCGCCACTAAGTGGCGGTGACGTCACCACGTCACCTGTGCCAGGCTATGTGCACGTTGAGGCCACGTGAAGGGCCAACATACACACACACACAAACACACAAACCTCAAGTGCGCATTAAAATACCACCAAGGATGCAGCGCAGCCTCACCCGCACGGCCGGTACGTGAAGACGATGTAACTCTCCTCGTCAGTCCTCTCGATGAACGTCACGCACGTGTGTTTCTCCCAGTGACGCATGGCTTGCCGGAACATGGCCTTCTGACTGCCTGTGGGAGGGGGGCAGGCACGTGCAAAGTTCAACGGCGAGGCAAAGTGCACGTCTCGGGGCGCGCAATCTGCCTTCTCTCCGAGACCTTTTTACATTAACCGCGAGGCTTGTTAATCAATCAGCGGTGGAAGCGGAGCGGCGACGTACCCTCGGCCGCGCTCTCATAATGCTCGCCGATCGCGGTGATTAATTCCACGAGACCACACGGTTGCCAAGTCGCAATCAATTTGGTGCATTTGACAAAGTATCCCTGAATAAATGACAGAGACAAATGTGGACATTTTGTAAAAAAAAAGGGATTAAGCGAGCGAGTACCCGGCTGACACTTATTCCCTAAACAAACACTGTACAGAGCTGAGGTGACAGATTGAAACTTACATCGTTGAAATTTTTACATTGCTGAAAAATGTGAAATGAGACAAAAGTATGCACAGTTATGGAGCATGCAGTACTGCGTTTGCATTGACACAGCTCAAATGTTGCCCTTCGATTATACGTGTGCACCCACTTCCATCACAGCAGTTGCAATGCCCTTGACAGCATCGACAAAGCCACATGACCTCATCTCAGCCAATTCAGCAACAATCAAGTCCCTTTTACAAACAAGCAAAGTTACCTGAAGCGGTAGATACTGCGTTTCAGGCTGTGAACAAAATAAATGTTTGGTAGAATTTTAGGAGATCCGTGTTTTGGCGGCGCGGGCGAGTCAAGGCCCGGTTTCATTTGCTCCCCTACCCGCTGCCCACGTGGCTCGCCGTGACATTGGCGTTGCAGTTCACGCTTGTCGCGACACAAAAAACAAATCCGGAAGGTGCCCCCCCCCCCCCCACGCAACGTGGCCCCCTCCCCTCCCGTTCGCGGCGAAGGATCACTCGAGAGTTGCGCCGAGAGTCAGATCTACCGAGCCCTCTGTCTGAGGAGGCAATGTCTGCCCCTTCATTTTGGAAACTGTGGTCACGAGTATTTTTATAGCAACGTTAAAAAAACCACACACAGGGGTATTGTATTGTTGCCGTTATCATGCGAACGTCAGCAGTCTCAGACAGAACCGCGAGTGGTCGCGTAACACAATTGACACTGAACCACATAACTAAAGAGAGTGAAACCCATTCTAATTGGTGAATGTTTTAAAGCCCCAGAGGTAAACAAAATCATGGGAAAATCTGCTTGCTTTTCATTAGCACCACTGCAGGCCGGCTGACCTCTGCTCTGTAGATGCGGCGGAGCAATGTGTGTGCGTACGTTCAACCAGAGAAGTCCTCATTATACTTCATTACGGACAAATGTAACCACTCGAGGGGATATTCCCAGGACTGGTCATGCTAATTATTGCCAGGCCGTTGTCAACATTCACAATGGAAATCGTTTTTTTTTAAGTTTTCAGTCCGTCTTGTAGATACAAACCACATGGGAAAGATTACTGGTTCTACAAACAAACACGTTCGTCCAGTCCGAGAGGGTGAGCGGACAAGCGGTCGAGCGGGTGCTTAAAGACATCTCTGCAAAGAAGTGAGTAACTGACACAAATATGCTGTGGCATGGAGGAGAGTCATATGTTTAACTCGCAAAGGCTATTTTAATGCAGGGAATTTATATCAGCTGCAAAAAAAATCACGCCAAACACATTCTGAACTTCATCTGCTGACAACAGCTGTCCCTGCCTCCAGTTGTCTGGCCCGCCTCGCCAAAGCCACAGGCTATAAGCAGGGGCTGGCATTTCCAGGGTTCGGAGGAAAACAAAGAAGCAAACGAATGTTGACTCTTTACTTGCCATTTGCGCAACACACAGGGTAGCATTACTTTCATCGTGGCATCGGTTCGGCAACATTTTAATGATGCACCGATTTTGCCGAAGGATCTATTAACCAATTAAAACCTATTGTGACGGTCAAGACACATGTGGGAAAATGTATCAATTATTTCTCACGTGTGAATTATATGTGAATGATAAGCTCATGTTACTCTTCGGCTCATAGAAAGTGACGAACATATTGACAACATTAATACGTTCTTCAATCGAATTGTGCCACAAATAATGACAATTCAAAACTTTTTTGGGGTGGGAGGGATCCTTTGTATCATTAACAAGAGAGACATTGGTAACCACAGCCATGTTCATAATAATTTTCAGTATTTTGTAAATCCACTGCTGGATGAGCTGTGTTAGCTACGTTGGTCTTATTTCCACCTGCGTAGTGTTAGCTGTGGCTGAGAATTGAACTCGGGTCATAGAGTTCCTCGCACAATGTGCAAACTGCTTCAGCGCCGTTCCCCCGCGAGGTATGATTGCCACTGTTATTCGAGTGTAATATTAAAAAGTCTCTCGCTCCCATTATAATGATGGGGGCAGTGTTAATGTCCAATGGCAACCTTGAGCAAGTGGTGGAAATCTCACATTCAAATGGCAATATAACCCTATATAATATTCCCCCTCTATAACCACTGTTGGATTCCCACAAATTAGGTCTACTGTGGCACATAATGGCCCATTCTTATTCACCAAGTCAAAACACCTTTAAATTCAACATCAAGACAAGCGGGACTTTGGTCGTTTCTGCCAATTAAAATATCAAATGGTTTCCCACTCAATCGAGCATGGGGTAGCATTCATCTCCTGATCACAGCCCTGAAACCAGTGGTAGAAACCTCCTCCACATTCCCACTAAAAAAGTCAGGTTCAACCACAGGACAGCCACTGCTGCCTTCACCACAAAGAGTTTTCCCGTGTTATTGACCACAGGAGGGATGGAGTGCTGGGTCGGCCCTTGACCGGCATTTGAACCCGTATCTTTGCGATGTGAGCCTTGCGCTCTCACCCTTGACAAACTTCACACCGGTAGCCATACGAGTGGCTCCCAACAACGGCAAGAACCAAAAACATCCAGAGTGACGCGTTGCCTAAAACCTGTCTGACAGAGAAACTATTATTGCGCTCTTTTGTTCATTGATTTAAATCAATTCAATTTTGCCCGAAGCTCAGTTTTTCACGGACAATGGGATGTCCAATTTGATTGAAGAGAACAACCGAGACGTGGGGAATTACATTAAAAGTCCCAACACTAGGACTATGAATGTCCCGGGAAACCTTAACAGATTTCCCTCGACGACGTCCTGGCAAAACCAGGACAGGTCCCATCCCCTTGAGGTTTATAAAGTTTACTTCTGGGTCGCGTGTGGCTCGGCCGCTGCATGGAAAGGGGCGATTCTCCCGGTGTGAGGACGTCGGTAGCGCTTCGCTGAGTGTCGCCGCGAGCGTGGCTCCTCTCACCCGTGAAGTTTCCCCCGACGATGTACGGGATGACTCCTCCGGGCCAGATCCGCTCCGACCTCGCCGTGGCCGCTCGTGGGGCTCTGCTCCGAAACCTCCGCTTGGCGGCTGCAACAACAACAACAGCAGCAGTAGCAGCAGCAACACAAGACTGACAATTAATAAAGCATTGTTAACACCAGTGCACATAGGACCACACTGCCCAGAAGGCACTCGATCCCATCCGACATTGGAGGCGATGCCGGGGGTTGAGCCTTGATAGTGCTAGGATCTGGTGACCACCACCACCACCACCACGGCAAAAACAGGTGCAGTAGGAGTTGTAGGCAGCAGAGGGCAGTGCAGTTGTTCTTCACTCCCAACGTCCACAAAACTGCACTGACCAGCGTGCTGAAGTGTGGTCGATAACTCTCTCTGCCTGTACGACGTGGGGGAGGTCCTCATCCAGCAGTGAATGAACAAATTGGGCTTTATGTGTGCATTTCAATAACAGCATATTGCCTGCTATTAAAAAAAAACAAGCAAACATTGGATGCATATTTGTCAAAAAATGTATGACTTTGATGTTCAATAATTTTCATGGAGGACGAGTCACTCTATGGAATGAGCAATGTTGATATCCCACAAATTGCTACCTATTTTATTGACCTCAGAGGGAGTATGAGTCAATCCCTGACCAAGGTATGAACCTGCAAGTTTTAGATTTTGAGTCAGACCTCTGCCAACAGCAGCAGCAGCCAGAATAATTTAAGAATAATTTGAAACGTTGCAGCACTTTCCTTTCATAGCCAAGCTGATTTTTGAGTTTGCGGACTTTAAATACAAGGCAACACAGTCAAGCCTCTGGGTCAGGTGACGAGAATTTCATAGCTCGATTCCCATCACTGACTGGTAATGTGTACACGTGATTTAACAGAGTGCCGTGAGTTTCAAGTGGATGTTAAAGATTATATTATATCATGTATAACAAGGTCAGGACACAGGTTATACCCTTTAAATACAAAGGTTATACCTGTGTCCTAAAATAATCCACCCATAAAAAGAAATCAAATTGAAACCTATATCAATGGACCCTATTTACATTAAATTACCTTAACTTATGTGCCTTTTGGCGTCCTTTGGTCTAACACCGCTTGAGACGAGGCTCAAAAGAAAGCTGTCTCTGGTGTGGACCAATTAGTTTCAAGGACTATGCATATATTATCAGAGTATGTTTTTTGTTTGCATTCTGACCACAAGCATTGTGGTTAATGCAGACATGATTCCTTGTAAAAGGTTTTAGTTTGGTGTTTAAACATCTTAACACCTGTTTTGTTGCCAGAAAAAAGGGGAAAACATTATCTTATGGGCTGAAATTCCTTAACAGCTGTATTAGTTTTATCTGTAACATTAATTTTGTAACATTCATAGACCACTTGAAATACAATCCCACAATCACAAGGTCGTAAGTTAAAATCCAGATCAGTGAATGACTCAACCCATAATCTTTCCAGGATCTACAAAATAAGTTATATATTGTGGGAAGTGAAGTAGCCTTATTATTATGAATAGACTGGCACCACCATGCGAATGTAGATATTCAATGGCTATGCGAACTCATTCAATAACTGAGCATGTAGATGCTTTAATACTGACTTTGATATCAGACACATAGAATTGGGAACCATTATAACTCGCTAATTTCTATCACAGAGGTGAAATACAATCAATTGTAAGGGTTAAATAAAATTGAACATAGATTAGCATGTAGGAGTCTTTACATACCTTTAACATCTTATTTTCCAAAAAATAGTACTTCTGCTCACACAAAGGTGTACTGTACGTTTACCTACAGGTACGTAAATAATACGATACGTAAATAATACGATGAAGAAAAAACATATATAATATGATGACGGAGCTTCTAACAATCCCATACCTGGGTGAGTCTCATTTATTATAGCAGATAAGATCGATCGTCGCGTCTGCAAGGGAGACCCGGAGATGTGAGATAGAATTAAGAATTACATTATTTTACTTCAACATTTTTTTGTAATTTGCAGTTAACCACACAACGATCTATCCTCATGAATTATGTCATATGATCTTTAAGCTCCAACTTACAGCAGACAAAAAAAAACTCTGGTAATTCCCCCAAAGGATGTGACTAAGCGCTTGTGGGAATCATTCCGTTTACCCCAAGCAGACGGACCGCTAGACTGCCCAGTCACTTTGAGAGCATTTTACATCAACGATGCGCCGTAAAAAGGACCTCTGTAAATAATGGTTAGAGGATTCATTCTGTCGACCCCACTCAGACTGGCTCAGCGGTGAATGCGCTGACCGCTAGACTGCCCATGCAAGGAGGTCTGCATAGCAGAATGTTCTCTTGTTCTCAGCCCTATCTAAAGTTCGTCATCCTTACATGAGCTCAAACTCAAGAAGCCTGTGGTCCAATCTGTGGTCTTTTGTCCGTCTACATTTTTTAACAGTTACGTATAAATAAAATTCCCTGGTCTTGCAAGTCCATGGTTATGATTGGTTAATGATTGGCAAGACCACGTCTAAATAAACTTAGACTGTTTTAGTTTACCAAGTAAAGCCCAACCAATTTCGTAGCTCTTTTTAAGAGGCGACCCGGTGATGATAGGTCATCGAAGTGGTTGATATCATCACCACACGTGGTAATTTATAGCAGCAATCAAATTATCTAAAGGCATACTCCTAAGCCCTTGTAAAGGAAAAAAACACAAATGAATGTAGAAATTGTCACAGAATTAAACGGCCTAGTCTGTACAACACAGTGTGGGTTTCAATTTACACGGAATGCATTTTAGAAGGGCGTCGTCCGATTCTGGGATAAAAATTTGGGATTTAATTGACCACACTTTACCACTCTGGTCAGTGCAGATTGATGAAGGTGAGGAGCATACACGTGGCAACATAGAAGCACATTACAATAATATTTTTTTTTCTGCACTGCACTGCCCTGTACTAGCCCATCACGTAGGCCCGCGAACACTCTGGACAACCTATCTGTGTATGGTGGCCACCAACTGAAGCACTATCCGTGCTCACTCTTATTTAGAACTCAAGATCTGCCGACATAACGCAGATTCCAGCTGTTTTGGTCCGTTCATTGCAGTAACAAAGGCCTACCAGGCCAGTGTATGGTGCTCCTTAATCCATGAGCAGCGTGGAACTTACCAAAGATTCCCTTTTGTAAGTGCCTACCGGAGTGTTATTTCAATGTTTCAATTTTTCTATTGTAAATGTCTTATTTTTGGACGTCATTTAAAACTTTTTAAAAGTTGTTTTTCAAAAATAAAACAAGGTACAGTGATCATCTCCATCGTTGTCCTGAATAAGACTAGCTATAGCAGGGTTGAAAATCACGGCTAGGGTTATGATGAGGGTCTTTTCATGGGATAACCGTCGTTGGGATCCTATACAATGCTGCGAGGTTTATCGAGTGCGGAAGACGGATGGGCCGGGTGGACCCCTCCCAACCTTACAATTGTGAGTTTTTTTTTTACGTTGCATTTCCTCGCTCGAGAAAAAAAGTATCCAAAAATACCTCTTATGCACATACACCACAGAAACGCCACGCAATAGACACTTTTCCACTTCCTCTCCAAATGAGGCACCTATTTGGAATGCGCCTTCAGAGTGGCAGTCACCACAAAAGGGGGGGGGGGGGGGGCAAAGTTTATTCATTACAAGTCGTTTTTAAAGGGGCCCTCTGTCCTGGCACCCTGCCATGTGCCTTCCTGCCCATCTGTGTGCTAACCAGGTCAGCCCCTGGTTCCCCCACCTGCAGCACAAACCCGTACAAAAGGCCATTGACAAAGCACCGCATGCGGCCCGCGGGCAAGTACACACGCAGGCTTCCTCCTCCACCCTCGGGCTCAAAATAAAATGACAACCGCACAAGGCCATTACGCAACGGCGCCTCGGGGCAACAACTTGGGGACGAGTTTCGTTGTTTTTTCTGGAAATGCAACCCCCACCCCAGGCTCGCCTCGCCTATCGCGAGCGCTTTTGTATATTGGCCGGGTGCATGGATTTAAGGCATTGCTGCGAGGGGCTCAATGGCATGGCTGGCGGCATCGCTTGGCAGGCCCAGCTTCCTGTGGTCGACATGTAAATCAAATGAATTAATATTGATCGCACAATACTGGGCCGAAGCCATCATCAAAAAATGTGCTTTTATAATTTTGCCGTACTGATTTGCATTACAATGTGGGGATGGCTGGTTAATTGCTGCCATGAAGCCACGCTGTAATTTATATATTGATCGAAAAATCAGCAATGTGAATCTGATTTCATGACCATATTATTTCAGTATGTCCTCTATGCTGATGTATTTTTAGAGTTACAATTACAAATACATCTTTGCCTTTGGCCCAGAGTAGTCACAATCATAGTTTATGCATCTATCTTGTTAATATTTAATTACTTCTGCAATCAGAACACATTGTTCTGCTGCAACATATGGTTGTGGATTAAATGACTTTATGATTAGTTCAGTTTAAGAACAAATCTCGTGATGGCATTTTCCGTCCCCAGGCAAGAGCATCAGACGACACAACAAGCACGCTTTCATGACATTTTAAACTGTTGTGTTCCCCGGAAGGGATGCTCTTGATTACCTCAAATCATTTCCATTTATTTTCCCTTTAACCATCTGACAACACTCTGAAAATGTTGTTCTCCCCTGCAAGGTATCCTTTAAAGTAAAGCTGTACAGACAAAAAAGTAAAAGTGTCTCAAATGCTCACCTCTGTTGATGGCCATGACCCAAACAATTAAAAGTTCACATCCTTGAGCCAGCAACCATCCTCTCCATAGGACGACTGCTGTTAACTTTGCATAACATGGCACCCATTCTATTGACCCTCGGAGACACGACGGGCTGAGCCACACTTGGGCCAGGAACTCATAAAACCTCCGACTGCGAGTAGTACCCCAGGTACCAAATGGTCGGATATCACGATGTAACAATGGCAAAGTAGTTACAGGAAATCTTGAAATTAGGACATGGAAACACAATGATTTCACTGTTTGTGATCGATTTCACATGGCATTTAAATATTTTGCCAGGCATTTTTATAATATTCTCCTGCAGATTTTGCAGGTGGCTGTAGTGGGAATTCAACCTTTAAACTAGTGAATATAGTTGGTTCAGAAGAAGGCCCACCCAACAAATTAAAAACGAGATTCTGAAAAATCGTTTGGAGGAGGCCAACGCTGCCGCTGTGGGCCTCCCATATCAGAGGAATGAGTGTTGACTCACACACCGCTCGCAGGCATCCCCATAGTCCACACGAAAAGCACTTCAACAGAGCTCTGCGCTGGTGCTCTTAAATAAATGGAGGCAGTCACAAAAGCTGGCCCAGGGTCAGTTTCTCCCATCGCTCGCTTACTGGCTAATTCCCGAAACAGCACGTGTGCCACTTTTCATAAAGCACTCTCAATTACGCAATGAATGTACACCTGTGTTTTATTCATTGTAATTGCATTTTATTTTTTGAAACCGAAGTTACTTAAAATGATTTAGTAATTTGACCACGAAAGGTATACCGGTGAAAAACTATTGACTAATTTACCAATTTGACTCAAGCGGAGACGATCCCGAACGGCGCATATCACCCACAGTGACTGACGAAATGGAAACATGGACACTGCCAAACAAAAATGAACGGGGGGGGGGGGGGGGGGAAGATGTAAAGTGCACAAAGAAGTACGAAGAGGTTCATGCTTGGAAGAAAAAAAAACGATTCGGAGACAGAAATACGAACACGTGGACCAGAGAGCAGGTAACAAAGTTAGAGACGTCGTGTTGAGGGCTCGGGTGGTGCGTGCGCTTAGGCAGGAGACATCGGTGGAAGCGACAAAGGCCGATGGTTAAGACCAACTAGACAGTGGCAGTCGAAGCAATGAACCCAGCTGAGAGGGCGACCATCGCAGGGGACGGAGCGATGAGGTCGGATGACACGCACAGCCACGCGGACCGTGAGAGATGGCCACGGCTTAGAGAGGGCCTTCATCCAGCGGTGGATCGAGCGTGGCCAATCGTGATTATTGAGAACATTTGAACACAGAGTCAGCCTGAGAGATGACCAGCGCAGGGTGGTGCCATGCACTCTGCATTCACCACAACAACCCTGGTTTTGATTCCCATCAGTGGAAAATGGTGTCTTAGCATAGCCCTGCACATATCTTAGGTCAACTCAGAATAAAATGCCTAATAGTTAGAGAATGTCCACACCAGCACTGGTGAGACAACGTCGGCTTAGCTCGCATAGTACTGGACCAAGAACAACATACAAATACTAATCGGCCATAATGGAGGCTCACAAACCAGATCTTGTGCCAATAGTCGAGGCAGGCTTTAAAGCCGAGGTAACGGACTCCTCTGTGTGCAGTCACCAACAAAACTCAACTGACGCTGGGCATTGCGTTGCTTGGAGAGAGACGAGAAACAATGAAAGTTGCTTAAACAAAACTGGGACCCGATAGTGTGACCATTGTTGTGTTAATAGAGCCCGAGCGTCCTGCTGTGATGCTAGCGCACTTATACGGACTGATGATTAAACCGCACACGAGGGGAGGGCCCCTCATCTGTTTGTGGTTGAACTGCCACGCTGATTGCTCATTAGATGCCTCATCTCCTTGCTCGAGGAGATTCCTCTCCCATCGCCACCAAAACCACCAGAAACACCAAAACAAAATCACCAGAACCAAAGCCACCAAAACCGCAAGGACCACCAAAACCATCAAAAACACCGTAACCAGCAAAATCATCAGAACCACCTTCTCCACCATCTCCACCATCTCCACCAAAACCACCAGGTAATACCAGAACCACCGCCACCGCCACGTGGCAAGACTATTATCTGTTGGTGGCTCTGAGCCAGTCGTGGAAATGATACATTTCTTTGGCAGGGGCCAGTCCCTCCATGGGGTAAGCCACAAGGTGGTACTTTGCAACTTTCAAATTGTGAGTGGAGCAAACTAACCGCAGCAAGAGGCTAGAAAAGATAACGAGTATTCGTTTGCTTTAGGATGGCCATTGGATGCTGTACGTAACCGTTTTTTTTGTTTTAAGAAGCTTTAAAGCTCGCAAACCATTGTCTGTTGACGGCGCAGAAAGAATATTTATGGGCAACTCAAGTGGACAGGATCCAAGGGCGCTGCTCAGTTTGATGCCTCATCACCAGCTGTTCGGGATCCCTAAGCAGCAATATTGTTTTGCTGCTCAAACGACCCTCCTGTCTGCCTGTAATGTTTTGGCATTTCTGCAACTCCAGGTTCTCACACAGCACTCGTACAAACACACAGCTCGGCACATATGTCTCATAAACACACAAACAGGCTCCGTCACTGAACATAAAAAAGCTGTCGCTGCTGGTTTGATGGACTGGTTTGACACGGACACAGTTTATGTCTCTTGGTTGCATAACCACGTTCTCATAGGCTCTCTATTTAGACAAAAAAAAAGCTTCCTCTCAAAATGGGACTGCCAGACAGCTGTCACGGAACCAATGCTCCAAAATCAGCATCTGCAAATGCCAGCCAGAGCGCAAAACGCCTTCTATGACTGCTGGTATTTGTCAGCGTAGCCTTAAAAGCAGGGTGACAGTTGCTACGTTGCTGATCACTACAATTTGCTTCTCTGCAGCAAAAAGGGAAATCGTCCGTGCACACAGGAGAACAAATTACTGTTTTTCATTTTTACGCAACTGACACTGCCAACCTTACGTTCTTCCTTTGTCAGCGAAACTTGACTGCCAATTATCTGCAGTGAGGCTCTGAGCAGCAGCCACATGCTCAAGTGAGGGCCTTTACGAGCACATCTTTAATTGGGGTCACCCTGCTGCTCGTCTGTCAGTCTGTCTTAAGGCACCTTGACGAATTACGCAATAACATATAAACTCCTTCATTCAATGTAGACATTACTGCATTACTGGCACGTGTACAGTGCCGATGAACGATTATATTTCAGGGAGGTTTGAAACTGGTTTCATTGTAAGTTTAGGGGTGCAAATGCCATTTCCGGTTGGCCGATGGCGAGGGTGCCACTTATCCATGAGTAGGCAATTGGAACCATACGCAGGCTGCTGTTTGGAGCAAGTGTGTGAATTTTCACCTGTGTTTAATGCACGGTTATTTAAGTGGAACATTCACGCCCCACATTTCATTATGAACCGTGCAACAGGGCTATAATTCGTATTTATTCAGAGTGAAATTAATAAAATTGTCAAATCATGTAAAAAAACATAAAAGGGTGTTAAAAAAATTGTCAAATCGTCCCCGTACCCAAACGAGCAGGGTGCAGAGCCCTCTTCTGCTGGCAGACGTGCAGCAGTGGTGGACCTTCCGCATTACCGTAGTGGCCTTCCCACAGAAAGCAACTCAAAACTATTGATCTGGTTTTAGTTTAGACGACAGTATTTCTTCATGTACCGTTTCCACAATGTTTTTTTTTTCTTGCCAGAGGTGGATCAGCGGTAAAGTGGCTGGCAATGAGATGGTCGAGGGCCCAAATCCTGTTTGTTGTTAAACCCAAATGCTGCGTCGAGAACAAACAAATAATTACACCCGCTTAGACGACTTTGACTGCGTGGGATTATTGTTTCTCTCTCATGTGCACACAAGATGCACTCCACTTTCAGGCGAGTTACCACACACTGGGTTCAATTGGAATTGCAAGTGGTTCAAGTGGTTCAGGTGCCACTTAATATCTCGAGGGAAGTTGTCGCCACTGGGTCAAGCTGCTCCTCATTAAAAAAAAACACAGGTCAGAGGAGCAGACGGCATCTTCGCTATGAAATCGTCGTACGCGTCACGCGCCGCGTGCACTGAAAGAGGGGGACAGTGAGTGCCGTGCAAGCTAATAATACATCACACACTCTACATAAAGCGAACCGACAGCACACCCTGTATTAACTAATTTATCAACACTAATTAAAATGAAAAAAACTGACCGCATTCTGCTCAGAAGACAGGGCGTTACCAGACAATGCAAAGCTTCTATTTATGTTGCTGCTACAAAGCAAGTGTTACGATGTGCTGGGAATTTTGTGTGCTTGTGCAGCGCTGCCAATGCAGTTAGTTTTTTACTTTTTTGTTTACACGGATACAAGGTCAAGTGTTTTGTGGCTTAAACAAGCGTGGAGAAGTACTCGCTTCCATTGTCGGTTTTGTGCTCGTGGTGAAAATTCCACATTGCCATGACAATGTCTATGGTCTATCCATGAAACGATCGAATTACTTCCCACACTTGGGGGACAATGTGACTTGACTCTTACAAAGAGAGGCCATAGTTCTGTGAATCTTCCGATTCCTGTCGTGTTTGCATACCAGGGTAACACCCTTTTGGATGCAAATGTAACAATGTTCCCGAAATATTGAATGTAAACCTTGTTCTACCTTGAGTTGGCACTGCATTTACAGCGTATGTACAATTTTACAAACCCACCCTAGATGCAAGTAATCTTCAAAATATATAACTTGGGCCACCACACTCGGTGCACCGTGCAGAGATGTGGAACCAAACCGCCCTGGCTCAGGAACTCATCTCAGCCTTGCTTCGCACTGCCCCCGGTGCCAGACCACGCTCGTCGCCCAGCAATTCAACTTTACTACATTTAACAACCCCCCTTAGTGATCCGGTTGTCTAACACCTCGTCTGGGTCTCCTTACACACTCCCAGAAATCCAATGTCTTTTGGGGGGGTTGGGGGAGGGGTGGGTGGGGGGGGGCAGCTGCCACTACCCAGACGAGTACTAAATCATCGAGTGCTGCTTCAAAATAAGATGGCCACACGGCGAACATTTCAATGACAACCGTTGGCAAACTATAAGCACGTGAAAGTCCATCAAGGTCCAAACAAACGGAGCAGTTTTACCTTTGCTTGCTTTTCTCCGGCCATTCCGATGTCGCCGTGACCTTGACTCACTTTGGGATGATGTGAAATTCCACCCAGGCACTCTGCTCTCTCCCACCGCTTCCCCTGCCGAGTCAGAAACGCGCACAGCTGAGAAACGGCCTCGGGTCGGCAAAACGCATTTCTCGGTTTCCCTCCAACTGGAGGGGGACCGTCCGCTACTGATGAATGTTGCTGGCGTGCTTCTCTCGGTTGTGATTTAGTTTAACAAGATTCATGTACAGCCCATGTACACTCTCTCAAACGATCAGCTTATTTTAATTATTCAAGAAGAGATGTACAATGTGACATAATGAAGGGCACAATAATGGCAGATATATATTTTACACATACATTTAGAATATAGCCTTTATGGCTATCGTTTCAATGATGCCATAGGAAATTTTACTTGATCTTTAAGTTTGACTTTGGAACTTTGAGAGTGCAAACGAGGGTTCGCATAAACACTGGGTGGGTCATTGGCAGCTTGAAGTGAATTTCTTGTTGAGGGTGAGAGAATAACTCCAGCCATGTAATAATGTCTGAGTTTGGATCTGGCCCGAGAAAAATGCAATTTTAGTGTCCAGTATTGAAATTCTCATGCTGTCAGAAGTGTGTCCTCTTGTTGTGAACGCATCACCGTGGTAAATAATCAGCAGATGAAATTGGGAATAATGTTGGATATTGTGTGAATTGTAAGGTGCTTGGGAGTAAATGAAAAATACCAAAGGAAAAGTTTTTTTTCTGATGAATGCAGCATTCCAGTTTGAAGTGGAGTCTATCTGTGCTGGCAACCCGTAGAAATTCCATATTTCTATGGCAAGAGCTTAGGTGCACATCAAGCAACCATTCTTGACATTCCAAAAAGTGGCACCTTATGTCATCGACTCCTTAAGGATCATGATGATTGGCCGAGTCGATCGTAAAAAAAAATGGAACTCGCAACATCCCAAGTGAGTGAAACACTCTGCCCGCAGTGCCAAACACCTGGATCGCAGTCACGGCATGAGCATCTACGGTGGCGATTCAGCTCAATGGGTAAACGGACGATACCAAACACACGGCGCTCGTACGGTGTCCGACCAGGGATATGAAACCACGCCGCCACTGACAACGCAGGGCCACGCTGACCGAAGGCCTCCTTCGGTTGTGTCAGCCGAGCGAATGGGGCTTTGCCGATGACGCGGCCTTCCCGTGCCGCGGCGTGGCGGCACGGGAAGGCCGACCAGCTCACGGCGCTGCAGAGCTCCCGCACAGAGCCAGCTCAAGCTGGCGAGGCGGCGCGCTCGTGCAACGGGTCGCCTAGCAACCGGCAACACCGACCGAATATAGGTCGCGCGCAATTTGTTTAATGTATCGCGGTGCCCTGCAACAGATCGCGTTTCGGCGAAGACTTTTCGCCGGAACGCTCCGCGCGAGCGTGCGCGCGCTCGCACGGAGCGTTGCGGCTCCGCGTCTGGAAGCAATTTCTCTAACGGTACACGTCGGGGGACTAATTAGGAGCACGCGGGCGCAACGTGTTTAAAAGTAAAGGAAAAAAATTAACACGGGCGGGCCGGCGTGAGTGCGAGCGGCTCCGGAAATCAAAGGCAGTGGCGGCGTGGTGGCTCCTTCAAAGCCAAGACGTATCAAAGTGAGCGAATGTGAAGGGTTCAAACAAAGGTGTTGTGGTTAATGCAGACATGAATCCTTGTAAAAAGGTTTCGGTTTTGTTGCCAGAAAAAAGGAGAAAAACCCTATTATTCCAAAAAAAGTTGTTGCGTTTTAGGTCATATTTTATGATATACAGTGAGGGAAAAAAGTATTTGATCCCCTGCTGATTTTGTACGTTTGCCCACTGACAAAGAAATGATCAGTCTATAATTTGAATGGTAGCTTTATTTCAACAGTGAGAGACAGAATAACAACAACAAAATTCAGAAACACGCATTTCAAAAATGTTATCATTTGATTTGCATTTTAATGAGGGAAATAAGTATTTGACCCCTCTGCAAAACATGACTTAGTACTTGGTGGCCAAAACCTTTGTTGCCAATCACAGAGGTCAGACGTTTCTTGTAGTTGGCTACCAGGTTTGCACACATCTCAGGAGGGATTTTGTCCCACTCCTCTTTGCAGATATTCTCAAAGTCATTAAGGTTCCGAGGCTGACGTTAAGTAACTCGAACCTTCAGCTCCCTCCACAGATTTTCTATGGGATTAAGGTCTGGAGACTGGCTAGGCCACTCCAGGACCTTAATGTGCTTCTTCTTGAGCCACTCCTTTGTTGCCTTGGCCGTGTGTTTTGGGTCATTGTCATGCTGGAATACCCATCCACGACCCATTTTCAATGCCCTGGCTGAGGGAAAGAGGTTCTCACCCAAGATTTGACGGTAGATGGCCCCGTCCATCGTCCCATTGATGCGGTGAAGTTGTCCTGTCCCCTTAGCAGAAAAAAACACCCCCAAAGCATAATGTTTCCACCTCCATGTTTGACGGTGGGGATGGTGTTCTTGGGGTCATAGGCAGCATTCCTCCTCCTCCAAACACGGCGAATTGAGTTGATGCCAAAGAGCTCCATTTTGGTCTCATTTGACCACAAGACTTTCACCCAGTTGTCCTCTGAATCATTCAGATGTTCATTGGTAAACTTCAGACGGGCATGTATATGTGCTTTCTTGAGCAGGGGGACCTTGCGGGCGCTGCAGGATTTCAGTCCTTCACGGCGTAGTGTGTTACCAATTGTTTTCTTGGTGACTATGGTCCCAGCTGCCTTGAGATCATTGGCAAGATCCTCCCGTGTAGTTCTCGGCTGATTCCTCACCGTTCTCATGATCATTGCAACTCCACGAGGTGAGATCTTGCATGGAGCCCCAAGCCGAGGGAGAATGACAGTTCTTTTTTGTTTCTTCCATTTGCGAATAATCGCACCAACTGTTGTCACCTTCTCACCAAGCTGCTTGGCAATGGTCTTGTAGCCCATTCCAGCCTTGTGTAAGTCTACAATCTTGTCCCTGACATCCTTGGAGAGCTCTTTTGTCTTGGCCATGGTGGAGAGTTTGGAATCTGATTGATTGATTGCTTCTGTGGACACGTGTCTTTTATACAGGTAACAAGCTGAGATTGGGAGCACTCCCTTTAAGAGTGTGCTCCTAATCTCAGCTCATTACCTGTATAAAAGACACCTGGGAGCCAGAAATCTTTCTGATTGAGAGGGGGTCAAATACTTATTTCCCTCATTAAAATGCAAATCAATGTATAACATTTTTGACATGCGTTTTTCTGGATGTTGTTGTTGTTATTCTGTCTCTCACTGTTCAATTAAACCTACCATTCAAATTATAGACTAATCATTTCTTTCTTAGTGGGCAAACGTACAAAATCACCTCACTGTATACACACACATTTTATATCATATTTGTATATGATACGGACAATTGTTATTTGGCCATCTGTACACATTATAAATCGAGTGTTCAAATCGCAACGGGAAGGTTTGGGAGTTCAAACTCCAGTCGTGAGATGCTTCAGCCCATCCACCCTCCAGAGGCCATCTATTGAGTAAGAGTTCATGAATGGTTGTTCTTTGGAGAGACTTGCCCCTGCCATACCAACGTGGAATGATTACTGCTGGCCCACAGCTGCCAATAGGCGAGCACTTTCCCCGTGCCCACTTGAGCAGCGACAGCTCGACTTTATTTTAGCTACATCCCAAAAGGTGCTGCCCCGTTCATTGAACTCCACACAAACAGCCGATCCATATTCATGAATGAGCTGAATGTGACACGGGCTTTAACATAACATTATTCAAGGGTCCAGTCTTCCCACAACCTCTAGACTTATTTAAGTTCATGGACAAGTATAAAAAATGTCTCATAAGCTCTTAGGTCTGGGAGAAAATCAATCAAATGCCAAAAAACACAATTATATGATGGACATGTTGATGCAGTCACTGGTATCCTGGGTGAGATAACCACACGCAGTGATGAAGTCGTTTTACCTTGCATGGCTGCGCGGGCCCAACGCAGGCATTAAGCTTCGCGAGCCAACTCATAAGATGCCAACATTTTTAGGTGACCCGATGCCAAATATCAGATTTTCTTTCTAAGTAACATTTTGACATTGGAGGCAACGTTGCAATTAAATGTAATTCTTAGCAGGTGGCTTCAGCATCGGGGGGGGGGGGTGGCGGGCGCAAAATAACTGACGGCTTCAGTCAGCCCAGTCTGGGTTGCAACGGCGTGGGAAAGCGAGAGCTCAACCCGGAGGTTCCTGTAAAAATCGGTCACTGCCACGATTTGCTGGCTTTTAACGGAACAAAAGTCCCGCTGCGTTGTGGAGGGGTTTCATTTTTTTTGCGAATAAACGAACGCTGCGTTGCGTCGTGATCCTGCAGGCCTCGTGGTGGAGAGCGCCGCCCCTAATCACTTCCACCTTCCTGCGTGGTTTACGCAGAGCCCGCGGTAGCCACCCCGCCAGGCCCAGGAAAACGGCGTGGCCCACCACGGACGTGGCCACTGTGACTCATCACTCGCAGGGACGGAGCGAGCCAAGAGCGGACGCGGCCAGAGGTGGATCTTGAGACGTCCCATAAGGAAGGGGCGGGGGGGGGGCGGCAGGCGGGGGGGGGGGGGGGGGGTGCAGTCCCGGAATTTTAGGCCTTTTTAAATAGGGCCCCATACATGAATGAAAACAGCATTCGATATATTGTCTCTGGTAAACATCAACATAAGACTGTGTGTGGTTTCTTGGGGGAAGGGGGGGTGTTGGGGCTGATTGCCCCCCATCGCCTCCCCCCCCCCTGCATCTGACACTGGCCGCAGCGAGAGAATGTCAAGGAGACAGACGCACGAGATTAAAAAAAAACTAATTTGCAGCGGGATAGAGAGAGAATTATGAATCGTGGGGAAGCGATATCAAGAGATAAATACAGAGCGACAGATTGAGATGGAGCGGTGCTGACTCCGAGAGATGACGCAAGATGCGAAATGAGAAGTGCAGAGAGATAAACAGAGAGCATTCTGAAGAATTGCGACACATGGAGAGACATTCTCAAGAGAGATATCGAAACATAGGTGGCAGACACAGGGTAAAGATATAGGGATATGATTATGTAGCAGAGCTAGAGCAATGAGAGACGTAAAAGATAAGGTCACAGAGATGGAGGACAGATATTTACGAACTGGACGAAAAGATGGAAACCCAAAGAGACGAGGTAAATGAAAGGCAGAGGAAGAGAGATACAGAGAGAATTAATAAAAGACAGAATGATGTAGAGTCACGTATATAACACAGGGCCAAGGAAAAAGCACAGACAGCCATACATACAAAAAACATTCCGTGATGTTTACAAGGATGGAAAGACAGTGACATAGGGAGAGAGAGAGAGACATATAATGAGACGCATAGACAGAAACGTTATTCATAAAGTAGAAACGCTGACATGAGTAATCCACCAAAAAAGAGCTCCTGATTTTTTTTTAAACGGATGGATACGGACCAAGCTGGTTATCACACGAGACCGCTCAAGTCCACCGCTGGGTCAAAATTACCAGCACACTCCTTTCAAAACCGCATGTCCACATGTTTCTATTATGCGAAATCCAGCTTGGGTAAAAACTGTGGCAAAACAATGTTTCTTGATTGTGAAAAACAAGCGGGAACAGGATGATAGCAGCTTGCACGGGCATTTGCTTCATAACTCAGACTCAAATCACATTTACAACGTTTGACAGACGAGCAGGAAAGCAACGCAAGCGGAGAGCCTGCACGTGACTCACAGAGAGAGCGGATGGCTGGCTATAATCGTCTAGTCCTCGTTAAGCTTGCCCCTGGGCCAGTCTGCAGAGGCAATTCGATTATTGCAGCTGCTCAGTAGTTCCCCGGCAGGGAATTGCCGGGAGCATGCTGTGGACGTCCAGCAGATATTTAAGGCCAATTGAAGTAGTTTTTTTTATCATTCAGCACAGGTTAATGACGTCACTTGAACTGTTACGAAGAGAAGTGGGCATGGGTAGGGCATGGTCGCTCGACGGCACGATAGGCAAAGGTCAAGACCAATGATGGAGCGGCAGCCAAGGAATGGAACGTGCCCGATAGGATGATTACCTAGCAGGTTGAGAGGTGACAGCAACACAAGTGGACCTTCATCTCGCAGTGGAGTGACCGTGGCTGATGGTGACAAGTAGGCCAATGTCTATTAACCACTTTTTGACAATATATCAAATATCGATACATCTTGATTTAATACTGCTGTCAAATATAAAATCAAATGGCATTTCATCACATTATCCATGGGGTTACGTGGTATGCCATGTGGCATTGTGAGCAGAACACTCAAACTACATCAGATGTTTGAAAGTTCAAACCTCTTGGCAGAAGTAACCGAATTATCCCTCCAGAATCACTCAAATGAGTACCACTTTGTGGGAAGTCCAGGAGTGATTGTCCTGGCAGGGAACGGCCTCCGCCATAGGAATGTGGAATTTCCACAAATGGAGGCTCAGAGGTCACCAACAGAGATGAGCCACAACCCTCGGCTCATTTCAGAATGGGAGACATTTTTACATTGCACCGTAACCCGGCAAACCATTACAGGGGCGCCGCGTAATTGGTCAATCCCACAATGGTTTATTTTTTTTAAATCAAGGTGGGAAAATACAAGGGGTGATGTGGCCAGCACGCAGCATGCCTGACCCACCTTGATCTCCCACTTCTACCAAGTGCCGAAGTTCACAAGACGCCTGCACCAGGTATTAATTTCACGTGGATTCTATGACCTCCGAGGCTCACAGCAGATTCAGATACCAATTTCCACTGGTGTTGCGCATCAGCTTATTCAGGTCAACCCATCACATTGTTGTCTCTCTTCCACTGCGACTATTACATCTGACAGTCCCGGTCACTAATGACCTGATGGGACTCATTTGTACGACTTCTCTCACCCATACGATGTCTACTCGCCCCACTGGAGGATATAATATTTATCCTGCTCTTTCGCTCCTCGCACAGCTCGGCTTTGGATCTGCCTTGCTGCTTTTGAAGTTCATGCAACCTGGATCAATTTGGGAAGCGTGTCAACTCCTCTCACCCACTACTCTCGCAGCCGTCTCTCTCTCTCTTGCTGCCTGCTTTCTGTTAAAGGTCCCCAGGGGCCACTGCTTAGCAGCTGTGATTTCAAGGGAAATATCATGCATGAAAACCACACTCACTGCTATTTTTTAACGTATAAAGACAAAGGTAAAGGCGCAATTCTGAAATTACTTGCAGGCGTAAAGGCCTCCAATAGAGGGAGCAGTAGAGAGTATCTGTAGAGGCTATTTTGGCCGACTCTTCCACGCTGACCAGCAAACATCTTGGAAGAGGTGGGAGTCACCACAGTTGACCTCACCACACGCGACCTGCCGATCTTAGCGCTGTGGTGAACCCAATTAGACTGCTGGGTGGACAGAAGCGGGGGGAGAGGGATACATTTTTTTGCAAGTGCTGGGAGTTGGAGAAAAATGTTTTGTGACCTCTGTACTGCAAGTCCAGCGTATTATCCGTGACACCGTGGCAGTATCATATTTTCTACGCATACAAAGACCCCCAGTATAGCCTTAACAGACAAGCTTCAAATCAAGATTGACCTTAACAGATTGTTGGGGCAAGTGCGGTTGGTGAGCACTCTACGAAGGCTGGAACGGCACACGAAGGGGAGGATGGCCAGCACCACGCCCGGCCGCCTTTGTTTCCCGAGTGGCGATGTTTGCAAACCATACTAGGTACTCATTTAAGGCTGAGTCAACCTAGGGGATGACCCAGGACAGGCTCCGATAATCGTCACTGGTGTTGGCCGTAAGCGGGAATCGAACTCGGGTCACCGGGTTCATAGTGCAGTGCGCTAATCGGTACACCACCACTCCTATTGCATACATCCACAAAATCACACACACACACATCACGGATACTGCATCGGACAGGGGCGATGGCTATGAATGCGGTTCGCCCGTCGCATATTCAAAGGCCGGCGGGGCTCTCGGTGGCCCAGCATTTGCATGCATTAATCCAATTAGTGGGGTACGTTGAACCTCGCGCGCGCGCGCGTGCGCAATCGGCCTGGCAAAGTCCCCGAATTGCCGCATCAAGGTCAATCCGGTCCACGGCGCCGCCTCCTGCCCAACTAGCCCCGTTCGCACGGGGCAGTGCAAAGTGCGCGACACTCTCCCTCTCTTCCCCGTTCAATCGGCGGCCACTGGCTGCGCATTAGCTGAGGGGGGGAGGGGGCTAATGGCATTCCGTGTACGCTGATGTAATGCTATTTAACAGGGTTCCTTTGATTTATGGTTTGTTTCTGTGTTTTTCAGTTTGCCAAAAGCTCCATTTATATTTCTACAGCGGGGCACACAGGATGTCCCTGCGAGCGGTTCACTGGTGCTGCGAGGTTAAAAAGATTTTTACATTCGCCCTTAGAATGACGTTATCGCACGGGATGCAAGCCTCACTAACTTACAGCGGCGTGGTAGCACACGCCTGTAATCCAGAAACCAGGAAGCGGGGCTGGTGGATCATGGAGTGATGCCATTTCCATCCACCTGTTCAAAAAATCTACGCGTCTCTAATTAGGCAGTACAGCAAATAGCTTTTGGTTTGCAGTTGAGGCGTTCTCTCCCAATATGCATGAGTTTCCCCAGATACTCCGGTTGCCAAGAGGGCGCCTTCATGGGATGGCCCTCCTGGCGGGGAGTTACAATTGTCGTTGCACACTTGCGGTGGCTCCATCCTGACTCGTACTGCAAAAAGAAGTCGTCCTGCACAATGGCATTTAACAAATATTTTATCTGCACCATTTGCATATTGTGTCCTTCAGTCACGTGCGGTCAGGGGAGGCAGGGGGAGGCAGAGCCTCACCTGTCATACTCCAAAGAAAATAGCTGTTACTAAAAGTAAAAAAAAAGAATAAGAAAATAAAAAATTAAGATGTTTCCACTGATCTGTTATGAATGTCATTTATGTATGATTTTTTTATAGTCAAAATCGCCAAATTTGCAGAGCTCCGCTGCAAATACAGGGAGAGAAGAGAGGCGAGGCAGCGATGCGCTCAGCCTCCCCTCTGATTGCACAACCCCTCAGTAACTGGATAGAGCGTGGGCAATAAGCGCGTGCCTGTTACTATCTCAGTATGTCACCAATGTAATATTTGTAGACCCCTTCATTACATGTCCTCGCCTTCCATAGTTCAGGTAGCCTATTTTACGTATGTGTATACAAATATTTAGGCTCGTTGGTCTCGTCATGAAACTGCAATGAAAAAGCACCAAGGGAGGCAGCTATCACATCTGCCTCACTGAGGGGGGCGTGTCAGACACGCCCCCCTCAGGGAGGACACGCCCCCCCTCCGTGTAAATCTGGCTCCGGTACTAGCCAGTGCATCCCCAGCAATTGATCTCACCGCACGTCACTGGTGTCCTCGTCCCCACATCGCCGATTAGCACGGTTGGCTACGTACGGTGCGAAAGAAGCTCAGCATACATACATCATTCCACAAATGCCATCGGGAACAGGCCTGTGTGCAAAGTCAACACGGAGACACGTGTCACGTGTCAACTGGCTGGGTAAACGCCGCGGTTAAAGCGCGCGTCACACATCTCGGTCAAACCCGGCTCCTCCAGAGCCGAACCCAACCCGCTCGGCACGGCTCCGGCATGGCTCGCTTGTGCAGTGGGAAAGAGGTACAAAGAGGCCCCAGGGTTGGTGCCAGAGGTGGCTGCTCACCTGTGCTATGGCTCGTCCTCACCACTGTGTGCTTCGTCAGGTCGACCATGCGGTCCACCTGGAAAAGGCTCAAGTCTTCTTCGTCGAGTGCGATGTCCCCCAAGAAGGCCACTGCACAGAGAAGACACCAAGGGGGTAGATTAAATGAAACCGACATTGGAACCTCATCAAGGAAGACACGGCCAGCTGGCTCGGGAGGGGGGGGACAATACGCATGTCCAAGCACCGCGCTCACAGCGCAGAGACCAAGCGTTTGAATACGGCTCTCAAACGCTCGTAGTTGAACCAGGCGATCAAACCACACAATTAAACCGGCAAATTGACAGATCTCGTCGGTCATTAATGACTGCATACACACACAAAATCATAATTTGGATTACCACCTAATCCGGCATGTTCTACCCACGATAATTAAACATTTTGGTGTGCGAGCAATACGATGGACAGTCTTTGCAGGGCATATCACAAGGGGCATCGGAGAGCTCATGAAGTGAACCGAGTGGTTTCTGTGACATGACCCTCCAGGAGCAGGTTCCTGGACACGAGTTCTCTGCGAGCGCTCTCGAATGGCATCATGCGGACGTACAGTACAGCGGGTGAAAGAGAAAAGAATAAAACGTAAAAAAAATGTTTTTTTAAACTCATTAGCCGCTTTTCACAATCAGGTCGAGAGTGCCTTCGTGTTCACTGCAGCTCCTCTGTGCACTGGGATTGCACAGAGCTCAAGTTGCAGATTGCTTTCAAGTGGATTGCCAAGCACTAATGCGCGCAGGTAACCTTGTGGCGGCAGTCGTCAGTGCACTATAAATCCGTGCATTGCCCTTGAGATTTATAGAGAAATCTCAGCAGCACGGCAGTCATTTATAAACAATCGCTGCGCCGTGCCCGCTAAACGCCTCTGAGGACAGGGGACAGCCACGAGCCAGAGTGAAGGTCAAAGTCAAGAAACGTTAAAAGTAACTCTCCCCTATTTACACATTCAACAGCGCCATTTGTTGCTGGCCGCTGGACACTTTAGGCCTTGAGGCTGCGCAGACGAGTGTTGCGAGGGTGCCAGGGGGTACACATTCCACGTGCCCATAAAAAACGGGGCCAGTCTTTGCGTGCGACAACCACTCTTGACTTCCGACACTGTGGTACTCTCGTTTCATTGACACCGGGAGGGATGATGAGCCGAGTCAAACCCCTGCGCGAGACACGAAGCCCGTCGACTTTGCGTGCAGCACTCGGACCGGCGTTGCCACGATGGACGTTGCCACATTTACACGGCTTGAAGCTTCAACTAGATATCACGATGGCCATAGGATGCAACTATGCTCCACTTATAAAGGTCCAAGACCAATTGCCGTGGAACAGTAAGCATCTTGAGTTTGCACATTGTCATCTCGTTAACAATGGACAAAGTGCAAATGTCAGTTTAACACGTAGGCTTTCGCGACCAATATCATTCATAATACAGGGTTGTCGGTAAATATATACATGTGTTGTTAAACCCGCGACCACTCGACACAGTCAATTAGTAAGGGTTGTCATGTAAACAGAACAAACGTCGTACTCAGATTGTAAATGTTGTGGCTTGGCCCTCCAACACACCAGTGTGCTGTACTCGTGATGAATGTTACTTTTTATGAAAGTGCAAATGTGTTCATTTGAGCCAGTTGTTCTTGGAGCACGTTCTTCCCAAAAACCTGGTGACGGGTCTACACGAGAGACGGCATTTGATCCTCGGCAGATGTACCCTGTGACCATATCTCCCCTAAATGTGCCTGACCTCGCCATGATTCAGAAGCAAGGCAGCAGGGCTGAGTATGGTCGGTACCAACAGTATGGGTGACCACTAAGGCTCACTACGTGTTGTCAGCATGGACCCGTGATGTGGTATTCTGAGGTGTCACCCCGCTTTGCACACGTGGGTTGTCTCTGGGAACTCTCACGGCCTCCCACGTGCCAAAACGTTCGTTGCTGGCATTGGCCAAACATTACAATGCAGGACCCTCCCATAATATAATTCTGAGACTCATTGCTGCTTTTCTGCATAAACAATTGCCAGTATTATCATCATCACGCATTAAGGGGAAACTGTCTAAAGTGCTGGAGAAGGTCATGCGAAGGGAAGTCGTAGCACGAAATGCACATTTGAAGCCCAACAGAATAGGACACACATACATGTTAGTAAGATGAATACAATCACACACACGGACACAGATACACATTTTATCACCAATCAGGCCAGCGATCGGGACAACTTCAGCACTAAATGCAAAGAAAAAATATATATTTCAAAACAATGACGTTGACGTCCACGCGAACAGATTAAACGTAACAATCACACCGAATTGATATACAAGCATGTACTGGAGGCAATGCCCGGTGATGTATTATGTCCACGTGGACATCAAATTATGCGGCCTCCCGTGACGAGTCCCTGGCTCTGACACTGCTCGGATCTCCACCGCCACGCAAGGGAAGTGGCACAAAGCCACGAGCTCCGATAAAAAATGGAGCTGGCATGAAATCAGAGGCTCACGCAAGTGGCGCACGTAGCCGCAAAAGCAGCACCGATTCACCGGAAAGTCTTCCATCAACACTGACCCCTTGTCATCATCATCGTCGTCGTCATCAGCAATGATTGATCCACCTGCGGGATTAAGACATCTCCAAACTGTCAACATCTCTCACGATCCTACGATCTAATAAACCACCTGGCACCGACTACACACGAACACATTCATCGCTCCATCTCATCGTTGGACGATTTCTCTCGAAACGCGCTCCATTCCCTGGCTGCCACTCCGTCATTGCCCTTGACCATCGGCCGTCATCGCTTAGACAAGCGGCGTTTCCTGCCCAAGCCCCCCCACCGCGCTTTTCTTAACACGTTGACTGATGTCATCAACTTCTTTGTTTTCTAGTCTAATTCACGTGGTGCTCTTGTGATGAGCACCAATAGAGCAGTGTGGATTTAAGTGACTAAAATGTTGCACACCTCATGTTCACTATACAAAAATAAAACGTACCGCGATCATCATTAACAGTCTCGTGGTGAGTTATGAATTCATTCGGTACTTGTTTGTGACCCACCCCGGCTGGACATCTGTGAAAAAATAGCTTCAAGGTTCATCAGATTCCCCCAAGATAAATCAAGATTCTGATTCAGATTCTGCTGGTGAAGCACCGGAAGAGGTAGCGATTGAATGATTGAACGTATTGTCACATTTATAAGGCGATACGGACAGAATCTCGTCTTGAAAAGGGGAAGGGCTAGCTGCTAGGACTTCATAGCATTCAAATCAAACCGTTTTGACAAGGATTCATCTTTCATATGCATTTTGTGAATGAAATCACATCAAATGCATCTCAAAATTATGATCCTCGGTAGTGCTCCTACGATGGTTGTGCCCGCACCACATGCATTTACATTTCCAAGCAAATTATAAGAATGTAGCTGTATTTCCACGGTCCAGAGTGTTTAGCGATTTCTTTTTAAATGGTTGCTGAACAAATGTAATAGTCCCCTTAACTTGTTGACAGTCATTCTGGTTTCAGTAAAAAACACATTTGTCAACATTCATCCACGTCAATAAAAAAATGTAAGCAGCCTGCCCTCATAGTGACTGTGGAATTGTTCTGTTTTAGGAAAATTCTTCATAAAAGAAGGATCTGGCATTGGGCTGGCTTGACTTTTTGGTGTCCAATTCTAAAAGTGTTTTGATTGCCTTCTACATATATGATTTGCCAAGTCAACTGCAATCAACGTATGTTTTGATTTAATGCGTATTATTTTAAAATCTACATTTCATCTTTTTGGTATTTTCTTTACTCATAAAAAGCGTAATGCAATGAAACCTTCTCATTGGAGGAGTTTTCAAAGTAAAAGAAACTGTGAAGGAAACAAGCATCGATGTACCCTTTCAATAAAACCAGACAAGCTGCAAAAGAGCTTCTAAAGTTAATCCTCAATCGATGCCCCCCCCCCCCCCCCCCCCCCCCCCATCACTTCTCCGGTATTCTCGGACCTAAAGATAGCCGCTGTAAAGCAATGGAGAAGTGTCTGCGATCAATAAGACCGAGAGGGCCCAAATGGTCCAATCTCCTGGGGCAGGCGGGCGAACAAAAGCCCAATCGATGCACGTGACCTTTACCAACGTTTCTCGTGTCTTCACCCCCCGCCCCCACCCTCCAGGGACATCACCGCAGGCCCGGGAACCCACACTGCAGCCGCACGGAAAATTCCCTTCACGTCACGAATCTCGAAGGGGGAGAGGGGGGTCCCGGCGTTCCTGCAGCCCGGCGGCTCGGCACGGCGGTCGGGTTGAGCCAAGCGGCCCGGTTCGCACGCACGCGACGCCGCTCGACAACCCTCGGTAATTTATAGATGGGTGACAGAATCGAACGGTCCTGTTGAAAGTAGACTTAAGTACAAAATCTCGTGGCATCGTCCGAAATGACGTCGCAAGATGATCCAGGTCTTATTTATGTGCCAGGGTCACAGCCCACATTCACGCGGTTTATTTCTATTGCCCATATAAGAATTTCAAAAACGCAAATTAATACCCTTCATCAGCATCCACAACATTTCTCCCATACAAGAGGCAAGTTTTCACTGAGAGTCACATTCGGTTCAAAACCCTGGGTCGGGCCGATTCGAACAGATTGCAGATTTTGTTGCAACAATTGTGTCGATCAGAAGCCATCGACATCTCAAGCCATGCACCCGAGTTGCTCTTCATCTTCGAGGGCTTCAAATGACGACTTACGAAGCACCACACTAGGTGCGCTGAAATAATAACTGTCACAGATCACATGATCAAAACATCAAATAGCCTCCATGCTCAGACAACAATTGAGGAATGTTCATCCCTACTGGCAGTTCAAGCCAAGAGTGGAAATTCCATGTTCCTGCTATGGGGACTCATCGAACTACATTGGAACCCCTGTGACCTCCCAGAGGAGCATAAACTCACTGAATTGGTGCTAATGTGAATGAGGAGTGATGATGATGAAGACCATGATCGATGGGCTGTTAAACCTGACCAGGATATGAACCTATGATACGGCTGAGGAGCCCTACATCTTCGCTGAGCTGTATCCAGCAAAGCAAACTGTACAAA